ATAATAAAATTTTATATGTGATAACTGATATTTTATAGATTATTCTTTGATGTATTGGTAACCAACCAATACATCAAAGATGTATGGTTGGTTACCAATACATCAAAGATGATGTTAGTCATTTTAATGCAATATCTGCGACACCAATTTCATTCTTAATACGGGTAATCAGCAGGCTGTGATCGATTGTATCAAATGCTAAAGACATGTACAGAGATAGGAGAATAGTGGTCAAACCACCATCAATGTTTAGCAGGATGTCATTGCATATCTTTAAAAGTGCTGTTTCGGTTGAGTGATAAGATCTAAAACCAGATTGTAGAGGATTGAAGTTGACAGATGATGTTACGTGTGGATGAAGACGAGATAAAGCAAGATTTTCAAGAATTTTTGAAATTGTATTGAGATTAGATATGGGGCGTAGATTTGTTAGATCAAATTCTGCTAGTCCTGATTTTTTGGGAACTGGTGTTATTTGAGCAACTTATATGAGGCTGGGAAAATTCCGGATTTGAATGAGAGATCAGCAAGGTCAACTATAATTAGAATGAATATTTCTGAACAAGATTTAAGGATGTTTGTTGGAATAATATCAAGTGGCGATGTCTTAGGTTTGAGAGTTTTGATTATTTTTGACACATCTGTAGGTGTGACTGAACCAAATGTTGTTAATATATCTACACGTGGAGATAACTCTGAGATAAATTTAGATATTGGGGTTTTTAAAAGCCTTTCCTGGATAGTGTTCTTTATAATTTCGAGTTTGCGAATGAAATATTGATTTATTATATTACATTTTGCTTCTGGTATTGTGTTATTAGTTTTTTAGAACTATTCGAAGGTAGTAATTACTTGGCAATGTTCCATGTTTCTTTTTAATCACCGTATGCTGAATTAAGTTTCGCCTTATAATGAGTACATCTGGATTTGTAAATTGTTGCTGCTGCCTCACGGCATGCAGTTCAATATAATTTTTAATCTAATAAAATACCAGTTTATCTATAACAACGCCCAGTTTACGACGTCTGATTTTTTTATTCTTGGCATCTGAAGATAACCATTTATTTTCATGTTTACCAAGTTGCATTGAATATTTTCGAATTGATGCTAAATGATCAAGAACAGTTGTTATACTTGATCTTATTTTTTCAGCATAATCATCCACGTTGTTTTCAGGTGATAAGGAACATGGCATCACTTGCAATTCTTTTATAAAGCATGACAAGTTTAGTTTTCTAAAGTTTTGTTATAAAAACCAAACAGTTTTAGCATTTAAAGGTTGATGAAAAAGTTCTACCCTAATCATATTGTGGTTTGTAATACCCTCGTCAGTACATGGATACTCTTGAGTGAAATATCATCATGTCGATTTATTACTAGATCGAGCAAGTTGGCTATACCAGTAGTAGATAATGATATGCGAGTTGGAGATTGAACTCTTTGTATCATGTTGTAGGTCTCTAAAATCTCATCAAGTCTTGAATTGCAGGTTATTGGAGTAGTACCTTGGCAGTTATAGTCACCACACAGAAGTATTTCTCCAGATAATGTTTTAAGTTCCTCTAGGAGTTTAGACAATTTGAAAAAGAAAATGTTTTTTGGATTTGATCGATAAATAGCAACAATATTGTAGATAGTATTTGCCAGATTTAGTTTAGCCGATGTGCGTTCATAAGACAGACAGGTAGACAGGTAGAGTGGTTTGATATTTAAGTTGTCTCTTTATATTATTGCAACGCCTCCTCCACGAGGTCTGATTGGCAGTTTTGAATTGTTTTAAAGCCTGGTGGGGCCATATCTACTTTAATTGCAGTAGGGTCGTCTGACTTTATCCAAGTTTCAGTGAGTATAAAGTTATCTAGCGAATGATTTTGCACTATATCATGAATGATAGCAGATTTTTTTATGGCTTTTTTTGGCTTTTTATTGAACATTTTGAATATCCAAGTTTAATGCAGAGGTTTTTTTAATTTTTATATGTAAACTATGCCAATTTAATTTCGATCCATTTGAGTTTACCTGATCGTATACCCCAATAATTTTTTTTTCCATTGTGTACATTAAGTCGTTGCCTCCCATTTGTTCCCTCAACCTCTTGAGCAAGTGCTGCATTTCTAGTATTTCTAACTTTTCTGAGTTCACTTTCGAACAATCTCTCGTATACTGTTTTGTCTTTATTTATAAAAGAATTTTTGAAGTAAATACTGTCCTTTAACTTTTTGGAATTTTTAATTATAAAATTTTGAGTTTCTTTTTTCTCCAATTCAACTGAGATGAGGTCAGGTGATCCTTCTGGTCTTTTAGCATTTTCAGTTAGTCAAATTATTCTTTTTGCATTCGTTAATGAGAAATCTGGTTTAATTGCTTTTAGTATTGTTTTAATGGTTTGTTTATCATTTTCTTCATTAACTTGTTTGTCTAAAGTAGTATGATCAGCAACTCCACTTATAACGATGTTGTTTTCAATTCTTTTTTTATTATTAAACTTATTTGTAATTTT